TACGCACAAACAAGTCGGGGCGTGTGTGTGTGTGTGTGTGTGTGTGTGTGTGTTTGTGTGTGTGTGTGTGAAAAAGACGGTTCCCAAAACACCCCTCAATAAATTAAAACGATTCAACTGTTCATTTAGGATTAACATTTAGTTGGAAGTTATTCTTGAATCGGCCTTACCAGAAATTGAAAGAGAATTGTAAAGAAATACCGGATTTCGAAGAATCTCTTACTAGAATGATGTTGGTGACAAGACGGACAAAAGCTCAACACAGATTAATCGGAGTCTCGAGACGGTGCGGCGAGGACTTATTCGCAGAAATCCACGGTCGCAGCTTCAAAGCCATCCTTATTCGGCTTCCAGCGCAGCCAATTTACGAATGCCTTCAAATCGCGTCTTTGAAAGACAACAATGTTGGGCCAACATAGACGGAGGATTGATTGCTATGGAGATGGAGACTATTGGATTGTGCGAACAAGTCCTCGGCTCGCCGTCCTGCAACTCCAATGAACCGGCGAATCCGAGAACAGGAAATAGGAATGAGCTTGAGAAACATGTTAGTTTAAAACAATTGTCCACTAATAAATGGAATATTCGAGAAGTTTTTAAAGTGAAACTAACATTTTCCTCAGTTTTGCTCTCATTTCGATAATTGCTGTACCCCCTTTCCGGATCAGAATGCTCCAGGGTTTGGTGCTCATGTGGTATGAAAACGAAAAACCGCCTGTAAGGGCGCACGGGTCTAAAAGTCCAAACTCGCCGAACATGTCGACACAAAATAGACTGGTCCAAAACACAGCGTTTTACTGGTTGAAGGAACTTTACTTCCAAACATAAGACTTGACATCAGGAATGGGAGGAATGAGTTTAGGAAAGTTTGTGCGAACTATCGAAGAATGCTGAATCTGTCCAAAGAGAGAGAGGGGGGGCATGAAGAACTACTAAGCAAGAAAAGGAGGCTGGAATAGCGTCGAGTGTGGTTAGGGCTATCACACTTCACACATGACTCGAACATACAAGAGACAATACCGCATACGCGAATATGCTTCATACGTTAGAGGATTTTAAGCTGCTTCATTTGGGATAAGAAATAGCTACGACCGTATCCATTTTCTTTAAATCAACTAAACTAAC